CCCGCACCTCCCGATGGCGTCTGCGGCGTGGGCCGGGGCCGGGCCCCGGGGGCGCCGACCTGCTTCGCCTAGAGCGTCCCGTGTTTGCAGGAGAACGCCATGTTCAGTTCGAGCGCGAAAATCGTGAAGCCCAATGGCGAGAAGCCGGACGAGTTCGAGTCCGGCATCTCTCAGGTAAGAGGTGGTGGGGCAGGTTCGGGTCCCTGTCGCGTGTCCCCCGTCGCGTGTCCCGGGCTGGGGGGGAGGTCCCGGGAGGCGTGCCGGGGGCGAGGGCGCGTGGGCACCGCGTTGAGCCGGGGTCCCGTCCGCGGGCCCGGCTGGACGCTGAGCGCCGGCCCCTGTGCCTTCGTCCTAGGCGCTGTTGGAGCTGGAGATGAACTCGGACCTCAAGGCCCAGCTCCGGGAGCTGAATATAACAGCCGCCAAGGTGAGCGCGGCCCCCGTACGGAGGAGGTCTGCAGCGTGTGCTCCTGACGCCGCGTGGATGTCGCGGGAACCTGCAGCCCGGTTCTTTAACGAACTTCGGAGGCGACTGCGCAGTGCAGTGACAGGCCATGCCTGCCCCGGAGCTGGGGGTGCAGTTAGAGGATGTGGAGATGGGGGAACACGTGTGTGTGAGTGTGTGTGCGCGCGCGCAGCGGTCCCCTTTCGAGTTGTAAACACATGAGGTGCCATGGAGACCCCTGCGGTGGAGGCGTCAGTAAACTTGGAACTGAAGCAGGCAGGGGTACAGAAGTGGAAGGAGCCCCCCAGAGGTCGTCTGGTGGGACTGGAGAGCCGGGCCCAGTCTCTGTCCATCCTGTTCTTGGAATAAGAAAGTGTGGACAGAGCTATTCACCACAAACTGGTCCCTGTCAACTAAAACGTACTTGTTTCAAAAATGAATGCATCTCAGGACACTTGGGATCAGCAGACTTCTTTGCTTCTAATTTGACTGCATCGTTTACTTTTTTACTTGCTATTATCTCTTGAGTACAAATTATTAGAAATTAATTTTTTCGAATACATGTTTAACTTAGAAGCTCCAGTATATTTGGACAATTTCAGAGTGTGTGAAGAGGCCTGTGCAGAGACAAGCAGCCTCATTTTTGGTAGCAAACAATTTACATTTACTTCATGTAGTAGAATGTCACCCATGCATGCCTGGGCATCGACCGGTTCACAGACTGAATGTGTCATGTGTTGTTTGTGAGGCATGAGAGAGACTGGCCGTCGTGCGTGGCCGTGAAATGTGAACTAGAAAGTGGTTTTAAAAAGTTCATGAATCAGGCAACAGTATATGGCAGTCTGTCGAACGTTACTATTCGATACTGTATCTGAGTTGGAAAAATGGGGATCATAAACTTAAAACAGTGTGGGTTTTTTTTCCTTTAGGAAATTGAAGTTGGCGGTGGTCGGAAAGCTATCATAATCTTTGTTCCTGTTCCTCAACTGAAGTCTTTCCAGAAGATCCAGGTCCGGCTAGTGCGCGAACTGGAGAAAAAGTTCAGCGGCAAGCACGTCGTCTTCATTGCCCAGGTGCGCACCGCACTGCCGGAGGCCTTGCTTTGTGGGCGTTGTTTAAGTCGCTCGTGTTTGGGCCATGTTGCTGCTTAGGGTAATTGAGCTGAGCCTTCCGCGGTTATGGAGAAGCCGTGTCGGGTGGTCATCCGGTAGGAAAGTCCCACTTGCAGTGGGTCGGAAAGATAAACTGCACTTTGGAGTTAAAATGGCTCTCCACACGGCATAATAGTGGGTTGCTGCAGGACAGGATCAGCAGACTAAGACTCGGGTTGGTCCGAGCTAGGATTTTTCTGCGCGATAGAATGACCTGCCTGAAGTCATCCTGCTCAGGTAAGCGATGAAATTTTGGGAGGAAGAGATGCTAAGGAAGGGT